CCTAATCTTTTAAGAAATACTTATTCTCCATTATATTGTATGGTTCATATCCCAGTCACTCACCATTAAAAACTCCTGTAAGTAATGTGGATGGGGCATTTTGATGCAGGCCCATTAACTTCAATTGAGGTTAAACAAAGAATCATGCTACGGACCAGGGATAACTGAGCTGAACCAAGCCATTAAGTAGTTTCTCAAAAGCAGACATATCCAAAATCAATTAAAAGCAGATAAACAGAAACAATGAAACCGTCAGCCCATAAAAGAAAAAAAACCTAGCACATGATCAAAAACAATGACAATACAATTCCTGTTTAAACAAAAAAGATACTTTGCAGAAAGTTTGGCTAAATAGTTCCCCTTTCAATCTATATTCCAGGGCACATGCAAAATTTGTTTGAGGCTTGGTACTGTGAGATATGGTTTTGATTTACATGCCTCATCACACTTTCAAAATGAGATTCCTGATGAAAAACATACAAATTCAAACTGCATTTGTACACAATTTCCATCAGTGTTTGGAAGTCACAATACAATTTAAGGGATTCTATTGTTCTGTTACCTCAGGTTGATATTTAAAAGAATATATTATTACTACACAAGATTCACAAAGAGGCACCAGCATGACAGTGATCCATCTATTTAAGGAATGGCTGCAATCGGATCAGCCATGCTATGGCTAGATCCAAGATAATTGGCCTGTGAATAAGCCAGCAGCCAAACACTACGTATGGTGCTTTGGATTGTATGTTTGTACCTCTTCCACAAATTCAATTTATAACAAGTGGATAATTGGTTTAAAAAAAATGAGGCTCATTTAACTTCTACAACATATACTTACAATATAAGCAGAAAAACATCACTACTGAACGTATTAAGCATAAAGCAAAGTAACTGTCAGCAAGCGAGATTTGTTTGTCTAAAGTTTTTGACATTGCACCCATTAATGTAATACCATTCACATGCAGGCAGTGTGTACCATATAACGTCTGTGTAAAACAAGAGTTAATTTCCAGGAAACAGCACGTGTATGGTTACACTTATTGCCCAAATAGAAGAAACTACTACTAATAAACTTCCAAATAAATCACTGAAATACTTCAAAACAAGAAAGTATAATTCATATGCATCATCAAATGAACAAAATTCAGTTGACTTGTACAGTCATCTCTATTTGATATGATCTAATAAGGGCTTAAGAAATAGAAGCCTTCCTCGCTATTCAACAAGATCGTGGTTGATTACCCAAGGCTTTATCTCCTCTTTTGTGGCACCACAGCATAGCTCCTCAACTCCGATATTTCTAAAATCTACTTCCTCTTTAAATACTTTCACTGATCCAGTCTCCAAAACTCTGCAGTAAGGAATTCCAGACATTCACAACCCTCTTGCAGAAGAGATCCCTTTGCCTCTCAGTATTAAATGTGTCCTCTTATCCTGTAACCATGTATCCCCGTAGTTCGAGACTCCTCCACGAGTGGAAACACCTGTCTGTCAGGCCACTTCAAACACTTGCAGATTATACAGAAACAAAGGAAATCGGAGCAGTAGGCCATTTGAGCTTGCTCCACCTTTGTGATGATGGCTGATCAATCAACTCAGTCCCCTGCTCCTGCTTTTGCCCCACTCCTTTAGCCCTAAGAACGATATCTATCTTCTCCTTGAAAATATTCAATATTTTGGCCTCAAACACCTTGTGGCACAGAATTCCACATATTCACCACTCTCTGGGAAGAAATGTCTCTTTCGTCATAAATGACCTACCCATATCCTCAGCCAGTGACCCCTCGTTCTGGGGTCCCTGGTCATCAGGAATATCTTTTCCAAGTTTACCCCGTCTCGTCCTGTTAGGATTTTTTCAGGTTTCTATGGGGCTAACTATCTATAAGCTTCCTACTTCCCACCTCCTTCCTGTCTTAAACAGGAACGTCACACTAGTGGCTTATCCAATCCGCTGGAACACTCCCAAAACCCAGTGAAGTCTGGAATGTTTCAACAAATGCCGCTATAATCAATCCCTTTAAAGCCCTTGGATGCAGGACGTCAGGTCCTGGCAACCTGTCTATCTTTAGTCGGTCAAATACTTTGACCCTCATGATAGAGGATGTTCCACCTGGTTTATCTGTTATTTTCAAATTTTATTGCGTCGTCCACCATGAAGAGCAATACAAAATATTTGTTTAAATGACTGGCCATTTCCCTATTCCAGTTTATTAATTCCCCAAACTTGGTTGAGCTACACTCTTTACATACACATACAGGTTCCCGTTGTTTGTTTTAGCATTTCTGACAATTTTATTTTCCTGCCTCTTTTCACTTTTCAGTCACCCTCTGCTGGTTCCTAAAAAAAATTCCAATCCTCTGGCCTACTACTAGCTTTCATTGCTTTGTATGCCTTAGTTTGATTCAGTGCTCTCCTCGACCGCATCTCTTAACCACAGATGTTTTTTCCTTCTCATCCAACCTTGCTTTTTGACCAGAATTTTTTGAACGTAATGAAATCGCCTCTTAAATTTCAGCCACTACTCACTCATTCACTGACTTTCCCCTTAATCTATTTTGCCAGCTAGCTTTAGATAAATTACAGAAGTGTGAAGGAAGAGTTAAGTTTTTTTTTTAAGCTGAGGACACTAGTTTGAGACCATCTCTTCCTCAAACAGAATTTGAAATTCTATGTTCTGATCACTACCTTCTGGAGAATCCTTAACTATAGCGTTTCTTAAAACAGCTTGTTCCTGTGTAGTGGTGCAATGTACTGCACTAACAAACAATCCCTGAAGCATTCTACACATTCATTTTCCCTATTACCCTTGCCCATCTGTGTCCAGTCAATAGATAGATTAAAATCACCCATGATAATTTTAGGGCCCTTCTTACACACCTCCATTGTTTCCTGGTTTATACTTTGCCCTAAAGCGAGGCACCTCCTTGAGGGAATAGAAACAGCAGCCATTACTAGGTTGCTATTCCTAATTCTCCCCAAACTGGACCCACATTGTGATCAGTTACATGTATACCATTTCTCAACATAGCACAACCATCTTCCTTTGTTCACGAAGCTCTCCCACTTCCTCTTTTTTGGTTAACTCTTCTAAAAGGTCTAAAGCCCTTGAATAGAGTTCCAAATATTGGGCACCCTGTAACCATATCTCAGTAACAACTATCAAGTCAGTGATTTATTCTTAACTGTGCCACCAACTCATCCACTATTTGAATCCAAGCAGCATTTGTAAAAACAACGTTAGGCCTCAATTTATTTCACTACTGTTACTTAATTACTGTTACTAATTTCTGCTGCACTCTTGTGCATCTTTTCCACCCCTTTCTATCATACTTTGATTACTGCTCACCTCTTCACTACATTTTGCTTTTTAAAAATTATTTCCCTTCAATTGAACCTTCCTCACATATTAGTTTGTTTAAAGCTCCATTTACAACCCTAGATACATGAGTCACCAGAACACTAGCCCCAGCATTGTTCAAATGAGGTCTGCCCCATGAGGACATCTCTTCCCCCAGTAATGCAAGTATCCCATGAATCAGAACCCATTTGTCCCACAATCTTTGACTCAGGCATTTATTTCACTACTCTTACTTACCTTACATCAATTTTCAATTGGCTCAGGTACTAATCCAGAGATCATTACTTTATGGTTCTGTTGTTTAATTTAGCCTGAGCTGCTCATAATGCCTCAGCAGATCTCTTTCTAGTACTACCTATATTGTTGATACCTACATATACCACAACTGGACTCTTCCCTTCCCACTCCAATTTACTCTCCAACCCAGAAGAAATGATTCAATCTTAGCACCAGATAGGTAACAGCCTTTAGGACTTCAGCTCTGATGCATAAAACAGCATCTATTCCCCTTTTGTCCCTGCTATTCTTACGTTTTGTGTTTCTCTGCCCAATTAATGATGCTCTGGAACACAGCGCTGCAGCCAGTTTGCTTCCCTCCCTACGGGCTGCACGCTCATCTCGATTTACACCACTAGTCAAACAAAACAGAGCCAGAATACCCAGCAAAGAGCTACGTGATTTCCTGTGATGTCAACAGTTGAAACAGACTAACATGGTTCTTAGATGCCTGTATATATGCCCTGCCAAGGCTACCCTTTTGATGCAGGTACTCTTCTCTTCATGAAGCTGCTACTCTGTTCCAGAAGCACAAGGACCTCCCCTCTCTTTCTTTTAGGTCCTTGTGACTGCCTCCAGGTCCTCCTCTCTTCTACTTCTTCAGATGCCAGTGACGGTCCTCCTCTCTCCTGCTCCAATGATCCTGCTTATTATCAGATGTTGCTCCAGACATTTGGTCAGTCTTCCCTCCCCCCCGATTTAGTTACATAATTTCTTTATACTGAATTATGGGGCTGTCACTGTTAGCTAGATAATCATAACTTGCCCGACTTAATTTTTCAGATCCAACACTGTCATGTTCCATGTTTGACTGGAGACATACTGAACGCTACTATATGCACATGTTCCATACACTTACTACTATTCTATGTTACTCTACCATAGAAGTTCTACCTATTTTTTGAAAAGCATTGAAATTTGATGACAGATTTCCTAGTTTACATTATGACCAGACTCAATCAGCTTAATTAGTACAAACTTTCCCTCTGTACAATGCAAAATACCAATAAGTCATGCTTTCCAGTGAGCCATTTTGTGAAACAAAATAAATCAAAAACAAAACACAACATCATAATTTTCGAGTTTGATCAAGGCTTGAATTTCAAGTGCTTTTTTAAATAAAACATTACTACTCCTGTCTTTGCCTTAACAAAGGTGCAAAAGTACAAAATTAAAACGATCTATAAAAGGTATTTATCTGTTGCAGAAATCAGTCAATGGATTGAGGACTTGGGCCTACAAACACTAATATTTACCTCGTTATTGTTTTCACCATCATCTCAGTGGCACTTATGAATGCAATTTACATTAAGACAGAAACACAAACGTAACTGCTCAAACTTCTTTAGAAACATTATCCAATGGTCCAAAACTGTGTCAAATGGTTACCTGAGTTTTTATCATATCAGGGTCATCCTCCTCAGTTGGTTTCTTTACAGAAGGCTTCCAGGCATGTTCTGCCTTCTTAAGTTGTATGTCATCATTTAGAGAGACGGTTGCAATAATTTTGCGCGGCTCTTTTCTTGGGCCTTGCTGAGACCTTCTCGCACCCATACCTGAAGGCTTGAAAATATTCAACGTGCATACAGTTAGTCTTTCAGGAAAACATTTGTACAATTACTATGTGCAAAATTCAAACTACTTCAGGCAATAAATGGACAAAGCCAAATTTGAAGTAAAATTCCAAAACAAAACGGTAACAGAGACTATGTCTCTTTTTAAGTCAATCATTTAAAACCAGGAAAAATGCTCACCAAGTGAGTTGACTGCACTTACGGCTTTCGTAAAGCTATGGCTAATGAAAAGTTTAATCTCACCTTGCCTCCAAGCACTGGTTCAATATTCAGTCCAATTGAGCAAGACAGCCCACAAACAATTAACAACACAGCAAGTTTGCTTCTAATTTTTGAAACGGAATTCCCAATCAGATAGCCTTCCAATTTGTAATAAGGTAGGTGAAAAGTGAGGACAAATTAAAAATAAAAGGGTCAAGGGGAATGGCAGAATTCAGAGATCAAGGAATGACCCTCCAGCATGCATGGCCGGTAGGCGTCTCACATACCATCAAAGGTTGAAAGATCAAAGAGATGCTGAGGCCTAAAGATGGCTATTTCAATATGTTGTGGCTATAAAAAGAGTGCAGAACAGAAAACTGAAGCAGAGGAGAGGAAAGCAGATTTGTACTCCTTGTCAGTTACTGGGGGTCAGTGAAGATGCTAATACACATGTATGATTGCATTAGATATGGAAATACAAAATTTGACTATAATCTTTCAGCTTGTAAACCAGAAGATGCATTTAGAACATCAAGCCCCAAGTATTTATATGGCTAGACTGGAGAAGCTGGGATAGGTTTTATTGAAAAAAGAAAGTTGAATAGAGATTTGAGAGGTAGTATTCAAAATCTCAAGGGTAAAAAGTTAAAAGCAAGGAAAAACCACTCACACTGGTGGAAGAGGGTTGACAGCACAGGACAAGAATTTGAGGTGAACAGCAAAAGAACAAGTTAATCGGAGGAAAAACCTTTTCAGCTGGCAAATATACCAAAATGTGTGACAGAGGCAGATTCAATTGTGGTTTTCAACATGAAAAATTGGATTAGCAGAAGTGAAAAAGTACAGAGGGATTACAGAAAAAAAAGACACAAGACTGGATCTAGGTTAGCTTCTGTTTTAGAAAAAGTGTGTTGGATTACCATTTAAATAGCCTCCTATGATATAACACTGGTTGAATCCTTCATTCCAAATTGTCAATTCAAACAGTAGAACTCTATTTTCGTAATTTCCATTAAGGTTCTACTTTGGACATCAAGTAGTATATATTGCTTTTGGACAGGGAAGAAAAGGCTTATTTACTGTATTACCTGTGACACTAGCAGATACAGCATCTTTCACTTAGAATCAAAAAGAACAGTCAAACTCATGTAAATATGTCCCACTGAACTTCTAATAAGTGAATGAATTTGGTCTACGAGAAAACACAAGAACACAGCAAAAATCCATTGTGCTTTTGTTTGAATTATTACATAATTAGAGCACCAACAACCTCAAATTCTGTTTCACCATTAGTACACAGATAGATGCCTAGTCAAATATTTTTGTCACGAGCACTTGAGAAGTTAAGTGTTAGTTGATATTTCAACGTGATGACTGCTTAAATTATGCACCTTAGAACATTCCATCTTTATTACTTGACTATAAATTGCCAAAATTCAACTTACTAGGCCTCTTCCAATCGGCTGCCGTCCTAGATTAGCAAAAGGTGGTGTGAAGTCTGGGCCACAGTTCATTCCAGTCAGTCTGCTTGGGTCAAGGGGACGAAGTGGAGTCTTGTTTGCCTGCAAAATGAAAACAAAATTTAAAATCAAAAGCACCATAGAATGCAAGATTGACTATTCCCAAATAGGAGACTGAACACATCAGTTAGACTCACCCGTACAAGTTTAAGCTGTGATATTTATATTCTGAGTCTTGCACTTCCATCAGTCTGTAATGCTGGCGACGTTCTCCTTTCTAGCTTTTGCTATGCATCTGTTGATGCATCAAAGGCTTTTTTTTATTTGTTCTAGGGACATGAACATCACTGGAAGGGCCAGTATTTGTTGCCTATCCCTAAACCACTCAGAAGGTGATGAGGAAACTGCTCTACGCAGCAGCTTAAAATAACAATGCCTCACTAAGGCATTTCACAAGTCAGTAAAGATTCAAGCACAATGTTGCTATTCTGGAGTTAAATACATGCGAAATAAAGACAAAATATTGCAAGTGCTGAAAATCTGAAATTAAAGTGTTTTAGAAATTTAGCAGATCTGGCAGCATATATGGAGGCAGATACAGGGTTAATGTTGCAAACCTTTGTTGAAATCAGACTGGGCTCAAAACGTTAACGTTTTCTCTCTCCAGAGATAATGCCAGATTTGTTTCATATCTCCAGCACTCAGGTTTCATTTCACATTCATTGCAAGATTGGTAAAAGTTGCAAATCTTCTTCACGAGAATATTAATGAATCAATGCAGCATTTTCACGGTCACCTTTGCCAACATCAACTTGTTGAATTTCATAATTGACTTGAAAAACAAAATTCAAATTCCTATGCATTACTAGTGCAGTAACATCAGCTTAACCCATCAGATAAAGCCAGACTATCAACGTGGATAAGGCTGAGACAGGGAGAGGCAAGACGGAGTGGGAAGTGGAGAACAGGAGGTTTGGGGTGGTGCGGGGGAGAAGGGGAGGAGAGTAGGCAGGGGAAGGGGGAGGTGGTGGGTGGGTGGGCCGGCCGGCCAGGGCGGGGGGGGGGGGTACCGGGAGAAGGAAGTATGGGACCGAATGTGCCATACTCAACGGGACAGCAATTTCAGATCTGGCATATGCATGCCAGACCGAATGGCATCTACTACATTGTGAGGAATTGTGGAATGTTTACAGCACCAAAACAAGTCGTTTAGCAAAAAACAGGTAAGTTCATCCTCATGTTTCAGCTCTATACAAGCCTCTCCCACTGTTCTTCATTTAACGCCATCAACATGATATTCAAAGGAATAGAAAAATATGTGTTTTTCTATCTTTGCCTCAAGTACAGCGGCTCCTTACCACCGTTTCTTGTGGTAGGAAATCCACATTCTAACCACTCTCCGGGTAAAGACATTTCTTCCAAATATCCTATAGGAATTACAAGTGACTTGCCTAATTTTATGGCCATCTCAACATCATTGCTGCATCTACCATCCAACACAGTCCCCTTCAGTCATCTATTTCACGATGGGGTCTAGAAACAGGAGGGTATACCTGTACACCTTTCTATGATATGATTGACTGGAATTAGATAATATCTTCATAAAAACAGGCCAATCATCAAGAATATTGTCACAGTTTTAATTTGTTCTTTTAATTTGTGAACATCTTTCAAGCTTTTGATGTGTGCCAGAGTGAAATCCTAGAACTTAAAATGCTTCCAAATTACAAACGCCAAATATTTTAGAATCTGGAAACTTGAAAATAAGAGCAGCAAATGCAAAAAATAAAAGTCAGATCAGACAGCAGACTTTCTGCAAAGTGTTACAAGTTCCAGGCTGATGACCCGTCGCCAGAACTCAATCATAAAAACAAATCAACTTTATACATCCACAGAGACCGTATGTGATCTACTTTGTACTTCTGTCATTTTCCATTTTGAATTTTTCAGATTGTCATTTTAAAAACTTACTACTAAAAAATAAACCTGTCATCTAACCAAGAAGTGCACTGCATACCTTATCCAACACAACATCGCTAATTGCAGGTAGGCCTTCAGGTTTCTGCATGCTGGCAAAGATGAACTGGAACCCCAAAAGAAATTCTCGGTCGTACTTCTTTTTGTCTTCAGGATTAAGCGGTTTCCAATTCTCTAATGGGGCAAATAACAATAAGTAAAAACAGTTAGAAAATAAATTTTACATACATTTCAACTTTATACCCATTACATAACAATCAAGTATTTAAATTAATAGTGTGCTGTTCAAAGCTTGCATCTTTGAGTAGGAACAGAATTGAAAAAGGGAAGCCATGAAAAGGACTTCCTGCAATCAGCATTCACTCTCCCAAGTGACTTTCAAAGGCTGATCTTGTTCACAACTTTGATAATGAAACTTACGCAGCAATGAACTTCCAGCCACACATTCAGCCATTATACCAAGACTGCCTACATTCACCAACTAAAACACGGTCCTACGTAGGCCTTGTTTCTGCTCACGTACTGTTAAAATATTCTTTCACGTCTTTGTTACCATTACCAATGACATGCAGCATTCACCTGGTCAAGCTCTATCTTCTATTCTAATATAATCTTCAGCTCACCCAAAACTATGTTGTTTGAATTGTAAACCTCGCTAAATCAATTGATTCTTAAGCTAAGTGAACAAAACTAACTCCTGGTCTGGCAAGGCCTCTGCACTAAAATTGTCTTCCGAATACATGAATCCTTCCACGGCTGCTTTCCTCTTCAAGACCTGCAAACATTTAACCATATTCCACCAGTTCCTGAGATAGTAGGAACTGCAGATGCTGGAGAATCTGAGATAACAAGGTGTAGGGCTGGATAAACACAGCAGGCCAAGCAGCAGAGAAGCAGGAAAGCTGACATTTCGGGCCTAGACCCTCCTTCAGAAATGGGGGAGGGGAAGGGGGTTCTGAATAGGGAGAGAGGGGGAGGTGGATAGAAGATGGATAGAGGAGAAGATAGGTGGAGAGGAGACAGACAGGTCAAACAGGCAGGGATGGAGCCAGTAAAGGTGACTGTAGGTAGGGAGTTAGGGAGGGGATAGGTCAGTCCAGGGAGGACGGACGGACAGGTCAAGGGGGCGGGATGAGGCTAGTAGGTAGGAGATGGGGGTGGGGCTTGAGGTGAGAGGAGGGGATAGGTAGGAGGAAGGACAGGTTAGGGAGGCGGGGACAAGCTGGGCTGGTTTTGGGATGCGGTAGGGGGAGGGAAGGAGATTTTGAAGCTTGTGTGTCCACATTGATACCATTGGGCGGCAGGGTTCCCAAGCGGAATATGAGGTGCTGTTCCTGCAACCTTCGGGTGGCATCGTTGTGGCACTGCAGGAGGCCCAGGATGGACATGTCATCTGAGGAATGGGAGGGGGGGGAGTTGAAATGGTTCGCAACTGGGAGGTGCAGTTGTTTAGTGCGAACCAAGCGTAGGTGTTCCGCAAAGCGGTCCCTGGCAACCATCTGGAAACCAATATCCATTTCAAGCCCACCAACTCCCACAGCTACCTAGAATACACCTCCTTCCACCCACCTTCCTGCAAAAACGCCATCCCCTATTCCCAATCCCTTCGCCTCCGCCGCATCTGCTTCCAGGATGCGGCATTCCACTCCCGAACATCTCAGATGTCCTCGTTTTTCAAGGACCACAACATCACTCCCCCATCAGTGGTCGAGAATGCCCTCGACCGGTGTCTCCCGCAACTCATCCCTCACACACCCTCCCCACAATAACAAAAGTTGGATCCCCCTCGTCCTCACGTACCACCCCACCAACCTCCAGATCCAACACATCATCCTCCGACACTTCCGCCATCTGCAATCCGACCCCACCAAAAGACATTTTTCCCTCCCCACCCTTATCTGCTTTCCGGAGGGACCACTCTCTCCGGGACTCCCTTGTCCTCTCCACACTCCCGGCACTTTTCCCTGCAACCGCAGGAAGTGCTATACCTGCCCCTACACCTCCCCCAACACCCCCATCCCAGGCCCTAAGACGACTTTCCACATCAAGCAGATGTTCACCTGCACATCTGCTAATGTGGTATACTGTATCCGCTGTTCCCGTTGTGGCCTCCTCCACATCGGGGAAACCAAATGGAGGCTTGGGGACCGCTTTGCGGAACACCTACGCTCGGTTTGCACTAAACAACTGCACCTCCCAGTCGCGAACCATTTCAACTCCCCCTCCCATTCCTCAGACGACATGTCCATCCTGGGCCTCCTGCAGTGCCACAACGATGCCGCCCGAAGGTTGCAGGAACAGCACCTCATATTCCGCTTGGGAACCCTGCAGCCCAATGGTATCAATGTGGACACACAAGCTTCAAAATCTCCCCTCCCCCTACCACATCCCAAAACCAGCCCAGCTTGTCCCCGCCTCCCTAACCTGTCCTTCCTCCTACCTGTCCCCTCCTCAAGCCCCACCCCCATCTCCTACCTACTAGCCTCATCCTGCCCCCTTGACCTGTCCGTCCTCCCTGGACTGACCTATCCCCTCCCTAACTCCCTACCTACACTCCCCTTTACTGGCTCCATCCCCGCCTCTTTGACCTGTCTGTCTCCTCTCCACCTATCTTCTCTATCCATCTTCTATCCGCCTCCCCCTCTCTCCCTATTTATTTCAGAACCCCCTTCCCCTCCCCCATTTCTGAAGAAGGGTCTAGGCCCGAAACATCAGCTTTCCTGCTCCTCTGACACTTCTAGTTCCTTGCACTTTTCCTATTGCAATCACTCCACTATTGACAATCATGTTGAAACATAATTAGGCCCCATCAAGTGCCCATTTTTCTCTTCTTCCAACAAAATCTAGAAGTCAAATGGTAACCACGAAACAACTGATGTAAAAACCCATCTGGTTCACTGATGTCCTTAGGTAAAGAGATCTGCCATTCTTATCTAGTCTGCCGCATCTGACTCCAAAGCCACAGAAACTCTGAACTGCTCTCCCAAATGGCTAGCAAGCCACCTAAGGTCTTGAAATGAATGAAACCAGGCAGGCCACCAGGTTTTGATCAGGGCACTGCAACAACAGCAAATTCAGCCTTTTTGATGCTGCCTTCCCACACACCAATGCACTGTGATTCAAGTAGGCCTTGCCCAGACAGTGATTAATTGCCATTCAATATCATACTCTTTCCAGCTGGCCAGAGTATGGGAACTTAATCTGCACTCGGCTATTCAAATTATAGTCATAAATTCAAGATCTAGGTAACACCTCTGACA